CATAGATATATACTTTCGCCTATAATGTAAAATATGTGGAATAGCAAGGTTAACATTGGAACCTTGTATACCGAAAAAGCCATTAGAATAATTACTTTTAATTATTCCTGACGATACTTAAACGATCTGATTCGATCCAATATCAAAAGTTTGACATTGAACATAGCTTACCCCGGCCCGTTGGTGCCTTTTATATCATATATATATGTATACATATCTATATGTATGTATGTTTGCCAATTCTCTAAGAATGATCAAGTTCTTAATGTGTGTGTCGACGAATAAAAATGTGGATGAAATTTCGTAATTTTTTCTGCCAGAAGAAAATTTCATAATTTGATCTTGCTTAATAAAGCATTTAAGCACGAGCCATGTCAGCTTAAAATACGGGGAAATGAGTTAAAGGACAAAAAAAAATTGAGTCAAACGTAAATAAGGACTAAAATATTTAGAATTTTAAAATAAAGACCAAATATCCTTTATGTTACATTTGGATGCATATAAATTTAAATTTGAGCCAAATTCACTATTTGGGTAATTAAAATGTGTGGATTTAGATTTGTCTCAAATCCAAATTCAAATTCTACCTCAATCTTTTTGTAATTTAAATATTTTTTAAGCTCTTATTATTTCAAATTTCCATGATCAAATTTCCATGAAAGCCTTTCTCCTCCTTCACATTTGTTCATTGATTTTTCTGCTTTCTTAACTTCGATATCGCCAACTGAGATTGAACAACCAATGATGATCAGAATCGGATCGCTGGCCTCGTCCAAGACTGAACTACTAGCATAAACGGAGACTGCACAACTGCCTATGAATGAGATTGGATATCTAGTGCCACTGGGACTACATGACTACCTTCAATGGAGATCAGACCTCTAACGCCAACCAGAACCAAACGATTGGTGCTAACTAGGATTGCACAACTACCTTCGATTGAGATTGGATCACTGGTGTCAACTGAGACTTAACAACTAATGTTGACCAAGACCGAACCACCGATGTTGACTGAGACTAGATAGCTAGTGTTGACCAGGACTGTACTGGTGACTTCAATAGGGACCGCATTACCAACTTTGACTAAGACCAAGATCGAGACCAAACTTCAACCAAGATCAATTTGCCAATGTCAATTGGGTTTAGCAATTTTAAATTTTAATTCACTTTCAATCACCCTCCTCTGACACCCGATGTTAATCCATTGTTGTCATCATCATTTAATGTTGATCCACTTTTGTCATCCAATGTTGGTCCACTGCCATCGCTTGGTGCTAGACCAATGTATCCAACGGGTGCTAGTCTATCATCCTATGCCAAATGTTGCTATTAATAAGGAATAGTCTGGTGTGGTCATGAAGGTCCAATCTGTAGCCCTTAGACTACTATCATCATCTCATGCTAATTTGTAGGTGTTGTTCAGGATTAAACCACCAATACCGCTCAAGACTGATTTGTTGATGCCAATCAAGACTAGACCATTAACGTTATCCAAGTTTGGATTGTCAAAATCAACGAAGAACTAGCTGCCACCCTTGTTCAAGAGTAAACCACCAACATAGTCTAAGTTGCCTTTAAATTCAAACATAGAATTTTATTCAAGATCCAAACAAAAAATTTTAATATTATAATTTAAAAATTTTTATATCATCCAAACATAGAATTTAGAATCTATGAATTTTAAATGTGAGATTTCAATTATAAGATTTTAAATTTAAATTTACAATTTACAATCCAAATTCACCCATCCAAATGCAACTTAGTGAACTATGCTTTAATCATTTCATGATTTGAAACCTTCAAAACAAAAAATCTGCAAGTCAGTGAGATTTGCTAATTTGTAAAGAAAAAATTTGTCAAAATATCCATTACTTGAAAATTGTTTTCCTTCACAAATTAATGAATTTTACTTATTGCAAATACGTGTTTTAAGGATTGCAGATAAGGTTATGAGAATAGCAAATCAATAAAAAAACATAGTATATTATTTGGATGGCCGAGACCACATCCTATCTAAAAAGTTAAGAAATTACAATGTTGATATTCAACTTAATTAATGGCACAATCTGAGAGTCATTCATATATATTTTAAAAATAGAGTCAATACATTTGTTTGGTAAATAATAGATTCAATACTTTTTATATTGTTTAATGTCATTAATATATAAAAAAATAAAAGAGCGAATTGACCTATAAATGTCGAGAAATGTCTGGAATCATAAACTCATTTTTAGTATAATATTTTTCCTTTAATTTTTTAAAATGGTGTTTTGACCCCTACCATTAACAAAAAATAACTTTGATTTTTAATTAATAAAAAAATAGAAAAAGATCTCAAAAATTACAGAAAATAACCCAAAAAATTAAAGTAAAGGATCCAAAAATTACAAACAATGACCCAAAAGATTACAGAAAATGGCTAAAAAATTTATTGGCCATCTTTTGTAATTTTTTATATCATTTTACTTTATTTTTTTAGTTAACTAATAGTTAAAATTAACCTTTTTTAATGGTAGAAACTAAATTGCATTATTTTGAAAAGTTGAAGAAGAACATTTCATCAAAAAAAAAAAAAAGGTTTAGGATCCCAAACTCTTGGATCTATAGTTTATATTCCAATTTGCTCTTTTATCCTATTAAATTCTCATTTAAATTTTTTTTAAAAAAATCATTCAAATCCAATTGCAGTAAAGGTTTAAATAAACCACCCTGAACTATAATGTTAATGTCACTTGATCCCATTCTAATCTAAGTCTTAATGAGATATGCACATTCTAATTTTTGTCTTTGGAATATATTTTAATTAATTTTTTGTTTATTAAAACGAGATTTTTTGACAGAAAATAATTAAACCAAGGTATAAAATATTAAAATATCTAAGTTTAATTTTTTGCAACCTTTATAATGAGATATTGATGACCTAAATAATATTATTTTTGCACTTTTCATTTAAAATAAAAAATATTAAAGTCTACCCTTAAAAAAATGCAGACAAAATAATTCTTAAGACACTATAAAAAAATTAACTTTTGGCAGCGACTTTTCCAAAAGTCGCCGCTAAAGGTTTTTAACGGCAACTTTTTGCTGCTAAAAATCGTCGCTATAACAACCGTCCATATTTTTCTAAAAAATTAATAAACTAAATGATTAAATTTTTATCCTCTCTCAAAATAGCTAAATATTTCCCCCTCTTTTAATAAAATATATTTTATAGATAATTTTTCAATATCTTAAAAAATTATTTTAATAAAAAATTAATTTTAACCACATAAATTTTATTAATAGTCATTTTGAATAATTTTAAAAATGAATACTAATAACTTTTGCAATATATGATAATTACAAGAATCTCTGTGTGATCAATCTAATTAACATCTAATCATCTTTAATCTTATAGAAAGTGGATTTAAGTAGTTATTCATATTATTCTTAGTAATAATTAGTTATAAAATGTTATTATAGCAAAGAAAACCTAAATATACTAAGAGGAATTACATGAAATCTTTGTCCAAAAGTCATTAGAGCTCAGTAGAAGAAGTAAATACCATATATATATCAAGCTAAGCATAAAGTACACAATATATTAAGTAGTTTATAATATCATTAGCATTTTACGATGTTTGTACAACTTTAACTTCCTAATGCCATTTATGTATTTGATTATAAGTAATAATTTATGTATAACTTAACCTAATTATAATTGAAGTAATAACCCATTAAAATTAAATTTATCATATTAAAATACTAGTTTAATAACATAAATTTTTAAAAAAATATGAGCTATATATGTCTAAAAAATGATTATGAATAATATAAAATTAAAAAAATTTAATAATTAAACTTAGCACACTTTAACTATTATTTTTTTATTTCACGTTTCTATATATAATTTATTTCTAATTTTATACATAAAATAAGAAATTTAATTTCATAAATATTTTGAATAATTTTATTTAATTATTTTTTAATTTTTAAATTATTTTTTATAAAAATATTTTTGGTGGCGACAATTTGTAGGCGCCAAAAGTAAATTATATTAATTATTTTTTATAAAAATGTTTTTGGTGGCAACATTTAAAAGTAAATTATATTAATTATTTTTAATTTTTAATTTATTTTTTATAAAAATACTTTTGGTGGCAACAATTTATCGCTGTCAAAAGTAAATTATGTTAATTATTTTTTAATTTTTAAATTATTTTCTATAAAAATGCTTTTGATAGCGACAAATGTCACTGCCAAAAGTAAATTATATTACTTATTTTTAATTTTTAATTTATTTTTTATAAAAATACTTTTGATGGCGACAAAATGTCGTCGCCCAAAAGTAAATTATATTACTTATCTTTAATTTTTAATTTATTTTTTATAAAAATACTTTTGGTGGTGACAAAATGTCACCGTCAAAAGTGAACTTTTAGTGGCGACAAATCACAGTTGCCACTAAAAGTGACTTTTGACGCTAAGTTTGATTTGTCGCCACTAAAAATATAATTTTGGTGGCAACTTTTACTAGCGATATATTGTCACCACCAAAAGTCCACTTTTGGCGACGACTTTTTTAGTCGCCGTTAAAAGTTGTCGCCAAAAGTCATATTTTTTGCAGTGAAATAAATAAAATATTAATTTCTAATTTTAAATATAATATATTCCAGTTTTTAAGATTTTAAAAATTGCTCTTATTCCCTTTTCCCTCTTAATATACTTTTAAAATATAAGGGTTGCGCATCCTGCTTTTGAATGTTGTGACTTGAGAGTTCTGATATGGTCAACAACCATAATTGTCCAACCAAAAAGACTACAGACGCAGAACTGGTGAACTACCAGAAAATCTCGAAGGCTCTTCATATGTTGTTCTCCAAACCACACATGCCCTACCTACCTCTATATCTATATAAACACCAATAGCAACCGCATCGATTCTCATCACAGCTCAAACCAAAACATTAATTCTCTCATATACCTTTCTTCTTCTTCTTGTGCAGTTCATGATTCAAGCCATGGCTTTTTCTTCTGAGAAATCCATCACCACGGTGCTATTCCTTCTGGTTCTCACAGTGTCAAGCACGATGATAAGTTCGAGTGTGGTAGAAGCTCGTCAACTACTGCAAACAACACAGCCTTCGATACCAAACATGCCTGGAATTCCAAGTAACTTGCCTAAGCCAACAGGATTGCCACCTTTGCCTTCAATCCCAACAAATAACATTCCTCCTCTGCCAACAAATATCCCAAATCTGCCGAAACCCAATTCTCTTCCTCCTCTTCCTTCCATGCCCACCATTCCTAAAGTGCCACAAGCCACACTTCCTCCATTGCCTAACATTCCTTCTGTTCCCACTATCCCAATTACTATGCCCTCCATCCCATTCTTCTCTCCTCCTCCTTCTAACTAATCTCAGAAAGAGGTTGCTTTATTTATGTGTTCATTCCATGCTGGTTGCTCGATATGGTCCTTACTACTCTGAAGCATGCCAGCATATATATATATATATATATATAGAATACAAATACAATGTTGGATTCCATTGTTGCATCCTTGGACTTCTCTATGTTAGGAGATTTTTATGTCGCTTCATGTCATTTGGTTTTCCCCCCTTTTTGGTTCGGTGTTAATTAAAAGGCATTGTATTTCTTTTAATATTAGTATGAGTTTATTGTTATTGATTGGTAATATATGATACTTTAATTTCTTAAACTCTGAATGGTTGTTGCAAAGGAATAGAACGGGATGTAATAGATGGATGAAGAATAAAATGAGTTCAAATTATAATGATCGTATGTAGATTTTGTGAGAGGAAAGCAATGGAGTGATACAGATTGTTAAAATGAGGATTGACATGTATAAAGGTCATCAACCTAAATTCTCAATTTTTAAGGCATGATGATTTTCTATGAGAGGAAGGCTATTCTCATGATTATGGTCAAATAAACATGATTACATTCAATAATAAAATCGTATCAATATGCTTATATTGAAATAATGATTATTATAAGAGAGGCTATCCGAATAATTGTAAAGAATTGAGGCAAACACAACATTATTACTAGTGTGTTTGGATTGATAAGAAATTTGGATTTAGATTTGGATTTAGTCCAAATCTTTTATTTGAATACACAAAAATTTATGAATTTGGATTTAAAAATTTGAATCAAATCCAAATTCATTTCTTATTACAATTCCTTCATAATTTCAAATTCCATTCAAGTCACTGTAAACATCTCATTTTTTTCATATTTTCATTATTAATATCTCTATGATTCTCATATCTTTTCTCATCTTTTATTTTTACTCTTTGTCAATTAAAAAATAAAGATAAATTTATTATTTTTATTTTTTATTTTCATTTAAAATCTCAACTTATTTATCTTCTTTATTTGAAATTTTGAAACTACCCATACAAATGATTTCAAATATATGAATTTTAAATGAGATTTGAAATGTCAAAATTTAAAAAGGGGGTCCGAAAATTTAAAAAAAGTTAACACGCCCTCTTTTAATTATTATGCAATACCTTAGCTGACCAAAGATTATCAAACATGTTATATGAAGACTGGCTGCTCTCTCCATTGCAAAGGAGTCTATCGCTCTATCAAATATGCATGTAATCCGGCGCATTGAATGCATCAGCCGCCATAATTAAGTGATTGAATAATAAAATATATATTGTGACCTTTACGAGTTTTGGCATGGATTGTAGTAAAGCCCTCATCCTAAGGGCTAAATATAACTTTCTAGATCCAACGATAATCTGGCACAGGATCCAGATAAGATAATATGATATGGAAATTGTAAAAGGAGGCAGACAGCGCCCTATATTTATTATTCCTTATATAGAGAGCAAGACAACCCTAAGGCCATATGTACAACAGAAGATAAGAACACAGAACAAATAATAAAAGAATAATGTACACAGATCTAGTATATGATGGGCTCACGACCATAGTAATCATCTACTTATTCACGAACAAAGTGAACATCCAATCCAATATGCTTTGTTCGAGCGTGGAAGATGGGATTTGAAGCCAAGGCAGATGCGCTCAAATTGCCGCACTGAGCAACTGGGATATGAGGAATTTTGAAACAAATTTCTGAGAACAGAAATTGGAACCAGGTGAATTCAATTGCAATTAATCAGCCAACACACGATATATACTCTGACTCTATGCTCGATCTCGCAACAACTCTATGTTTTTTCCCAGACCATGCAATCAATGAATCACCAAGAAAAACACAAGACGACCATCAACACAAACAGCCCAATTAGAATCCGAGAAGCCTTTTAAGGTAAAATGATTACTCGGTTTTATGAATAGCCTTGCTTTGCCAATGCTGGTCTGTTGGTAAATGAAGGAACTAGTTGAGCTTATTTACAACAAACATAATATTTGGTCTAGCGTTTACCAAGTAGTATTGTAGTGCTCCTATTACTCTTCGATAAATAGTAGGATTTTCCACCATTGGTGTTGGTACTGGAGGGCATGTAGCCATTCCACACTTGAGTAAATGATCAAGAATATAATTTTCTTTCTTTAGATGCAGACCTATAGTATCTCAATATGCTTCAATTCGAAGGAAATGGTGAAGATGACCCAAATTCTTGAACCTAGATGATGCAGTGGCGGGGATCAAGCAATGCATCTCCATCATACTCGTGGCTATCAACTAGTGTCTCCACTGATGACAAACAATAGAAAATGTCGGGAAACCAAGCTGATGCTCAGAGTTGTTACGTTGGACTCACACAGCCAGATTCTTGAGTAGCATAGTGTTCTTATCCTACGATAGTTGCTGAGATCTGTTGTCGATTGATACTACTCCTGTGATAGAAATGAAGTTTGTTGAAACGGAAAAATAAAAGAGCAGAAACAGAAGTTACATAATGGAGCATAATAAACTCTTCGTAACCTCCCCTTAATTCCTGTAACCTCCCTTTTATTTTGTATGCTTTAGTTTCACAATCTCAGAACTATAAATAAGGCCATTATTGTCTGTGTAATGCACCTCAGTTTTGAAAGAATAAGAATTACTTGTTTTCATTCAGTTTCTGTGCCATTTGTTCTCGTCCTATATATTAGGTTTCTATTTTTAAAATATTGGATATTGTTTTTGGTACATTCCTATACATGTGATGGTGAGTTGTTGCTATGTCATTTGATCCTTTTGTTTTCGGATTGGTATGAGATTTAGGACAGTGTTTTTCTTATTCTTATACGAATTTCTTATGTATTATTACAGACCATATTTACGTTAACCCAATGAAGAAAAGACGTAGATGTTTAATTATTTGATGGCCTAGCTCATCTTCACCACGTATAAAGATCAAACAATGCCCCAAGTTATTAGTTGAATGGTTTGAAACCATTAAAAACAAGATTTTTTTTAGTGAGATTAACTATATAATTTGTAAAGAAAAACCTTGCCAATATAACAACACTTCTAATAGTTTGCTACCACTCTCATACCCTAATTTGTAACCCTCATAACAAGAATTTTTGCAAAAGAGATTCCTTATTTTGTGAAGGAAAAATGGTCTGTGAAGAAACATGTATAGATCGTTCAAAGTCATGGCTCTTGATTCCAACCGAGTCTTCCATGCTCAATAATAACTTGTAAAAATTTATGTCATTTTAATACATTTTCCTATACTTATCTTCTATTAAACATATATCTAGGCCCATATTGACTGAACCATCAAAGAAGAAGTCCAAGAAGACTAAATGGCCCAAAGTTTAATTTGCAGTCCATGTGTATATTATTTCCTTCTTCGTCTGTATTGTAGTTGATTCTTTCTCATTATAGAATAGGGCTAACGTGGTCCCTGTGCTGTAACTAACTCTGCTATACGTTTTCTCTATATAATTAATTGTTTTGCACAGGCTGCTCACGTTGAGAGAGCACAGCATTTTCTAAATCTGTCTTTTGCAATTTGGTATCAAAACAGACATCATCAATGGCAACCTTTCTAATTCTCTCAACCACCAGCTCACCTACTTTCACTTCCTCTACTATGCCTCTTTTTGCTACTTCTGCCATTCCATCCTTTTCTTCCTCTTCCACCTCCATACCAGAAATCAATACCGTCATTCCTTCTGTTGCTGCTATTCAAACTAAAACAATACCACTCCTCAACAGCCTTAATCAGGCTGGATCAATCAAGTTGGACCAATCCAATTACCTCCTCTAGAGTCGTTTTGTTCTCTTTGTTCTTGAAGGACACAAACTAGAAGGATTTATTACATGAATGAAGATTCCTCCTCTAAAATTTGTAGCTGATGGTAACGATGTTGTTGTGAATCCTGCCTTTGAAGATTGGCAAGCTACAAACCAGCTTATATATGGCTAGCTCCTTGGGTCCATGGGAACTAATATTTCAACTCAAGTTTTACACTGTCGAAGTGCTGCACAAATTTGGAAAGTAGTCACCGATCTAGCATTTTCTAACACTAGAGCTCGTATTACTCTGATGAAGTCTAAATTTCATAGTACTCGAAAAGGTTCTCTTCAAATGGAAGAGTATCTCAGCAAGTTGAAGCTACTGGCAGACCATATGGCATTAGCTGGGCATCCCTTACTAATACCTGATGTTGTCATGCAAACATTGGCTGGACTTGATGCCAATTATACTCCTATTGTTGTACATCTTGTCGATAAACTTGATTTGTCATGGGTTGATTCACATTCATCTCTTGTGACATATAAGTAGCATATCGAACACCTTAACAATGTTAACACAGTAAGTACAATGTTTGCTAATTTAAGTTTTCAAACTAATCGATCTATTTCCAGTACTGAACATTCAGGTTCTCATGGATCTTGGCATTTCTCTAGTTGAGGTCGAGATGGTAACGGCTGAGGTGGCAATCGTAGTCGGGGATGTTATAAAAATAATAACAATAAAGTGAAGTGTCAACTGTGTAGTCATCCTGGTCATGTGGTTGATGATTGTTTCTATTGCTTTAATGGAAATTATGTATATCATGAGAGATCAACTCTATCAGCTTATTATGCTTCGCCTAAAACAATTCAGGATCCAGCTTGGTATTTAGATAGTGGAGCTTCAAACCATGTCACAAATCTCAATGGTAATTCTATTTCTGGTGCTCAAATAGTGACAGGTAAATTAACAGTTGGTGATAGCGCAAGTCTGCCTATCTCTGGTCATACTTCAGGTTATTTTAAATGTGGTTCATCAGAGTTATTGCTAAAGGATATTCTTGTGGTCCCAACAATAATGAAAAATCTGCTTAGTTTCTCTGAATTAGTCTTGGATAATGATATACTAATTCAATTCCTTGGTGTTTATTATGTTGTGAAGCATCTGAGAATGGGCAAGGAACTGCTTAAAGGGACACGGTGTGATGGTTTATACAAGATAGATAGCGAGCTTTATGT